CACACACTCACACACACATACACACACACTCACACACACACATACACACACATATACATACACATATACACACACTCACACACACATACACACACACTCACACACACATACACACACACTCTCACACACACACACATACACACACACTCACATTCTCTTCTCTCTCTGTCTCTCTGTCTCTCTCTCTCTCTCTCTGTCTCTCCCACACACCCACCCCACCAACACACACACACACACACACACACACACACACACACACACACACACACACACAGAGTTGAGCTCCAGACAGCTCCAGACAGTACTACACAGACAATCACTGGAGGTGCATTGAGTAATATTTATAATTACTTTAAGGCCCCAGACTCTAATGTGCCTAGAGCAGTTCCATCCCAGATACAAACCCCCAAAATAACAAGACCAAGAGGGAGTTGTGGCTATGCTGCACCCCACATGCCTCTTCTTCCTTTCCATAAGCTCCCGAGACCCCAAGACCACAGCAGATGGTACCGGAGGCCTTGCATGCTCATCCCAACCATAGCAGAAACTTGACAAATAGAAGGAGGGTGAAAAAGAAGCCCAAAGAGACGGCAGAGGTGAGAAACGACTTCATCTGCAGGCCTCATTCTGGGGCCCTTCTCCTTCTGCCCCAAGGAAAAGAGCGAGACACTTCACAAACAGTCCAAAAGAAAAAAAAAAGTCTAATGGTGGATAAATATTTGATCATAGAGACTTAATACACAGGGCTCAGCTCACCCTGGCCATCTATCTGGAGATATACAACTTTTAAAAGCTCAGGCTCTCGGAGAACATTTTATTAATGACCTGTCTAGTTAAAAGGAGGAGGGAGTTTAGGTTTAAAAAAAATGCATTAATACCAGTCGAGCGCTCGAGTGGAAGGAAGGGTGGGGGGAAGGAAGCATGATAAATTTTTTAACACACCCTAAAAAAAAATCCACACTTAGAGGAAGAACAAATTTATTACTAATTATGCAATTATTTCATTTGGTGGTGTGGGGGAGAAGAAATACTTAAAAGCCTGTTTTAAATATCTCTAATAAAGAATTTAAAAATCCTGTTCAGCTTTTCTTCCTCCAGGGCACAGTGTGGGGTGGACAGCAAGCTGCCCTCTGTCCTCTGATTCTTGACGTGTGACTGACTTCAGCTCAGCTTGGGGGTCAGGGGGCTCCCTCTGTCCTCTGATTCTTGACGTGTGACTGACTTCAGCTCAGCTTGGGAGGGGGCTCAGCTCTCAGCTCAGGGGTGCTAGATACTCAGTTTGGCTAGCCAGGGATGCCCAGGCCTAGAGGAGACCAGAAAAGGGTTCCCTGTCTGCTCACATATGGCTGGTGCCTTAGGGAAGCTCAGGGTGGGCAAGGAAGCTCTGCAGGAGAGACCTGGCAATGGGCCAGCATGATGGAGCACGAAGACAACAATGAGGAAGCGAGGGACTTCTCATGCCAAGAACTGCAGGGCGACAGGTGGGGATGAAGTTGTTGACCACTGTTTGCAGGCAGAGCAGGGGTCCAGCAAGAATGTGACTCTGTGCCATGGATCAGCCAAGCTCTGACTCAGCCCTTGTGTCCATGGAGAAACTGAGGCTGGGGAGTGGGTGTGCCCACCACCTGACCAGCAGAGTGACAAGGGACAGGCTAGTCACGCAGCCTCTTGGGTCTCTGCTTATATGGCTTGGCAGCAATGACACTCACTCCAGGTTTCTCCCTTTGAAAAGTCAGGGACGCAGCCATGGGCCCCAGCAGAGCTGTGCTTCTCCACCCCCAGTGGATCCGCCGCCCACAGACCAGCTTCTGACAACTGAAGCCACTGCCTCTCACTTTCCTCTGCCCCGACTAGACAAGACCCAAGATTTTCAAAACTTCATAAGATTAACCGTTTTTTCCATTGTTCCATTATCTTGAAATAATTTAGCTATCAAGATAAATGCAAAAGTAGTTCTATGATACAGAGAATTTTTTATTGTATTGTATAATAGATGAAACTGGTCCATCCCCCAGTCCTGTCCCGCTCCCCCCCCCTTTCGCCATCCCCACCATTCAGGAAATAGAATCAAACTGAAGGAAGGGAGAGGAGAAGGCAGGAAAGAAAAGGACCACAAGCAACACACTGCTTCTGATGCAGGGGAATGGTGAGGAAGGGACTGTCCCCACCCTCAGCCATGGGAAGCACCTTCCTAGCCATGGGATTCTACCTCAGGACTGCACCCCAACACACGGAGGGACCAAGCCAGGACTACTCAACCAACACTGAGGTTTTGTGTGTGTGTGTGTGAGAGAGAGAGAGAGAGAGAGAGAGAGAGAGAGAGAGAGAGAGAAAGAGAGAGAGAGAGAGAGAGAAAGAGAGAGAGAGAATGTATGTGTATAAGAATGTGTGTGAAAGTGTGTGTGAGAGAGTGTGTGTGAGAGAGTTTGTGTGTGTGTGTGAGAGAGAGAGAGACAGAGAGACAGAGAGACAC